CTCCTCATTTAAACCCCGTGGAGGAATTATTTAATTTTCTTTGAAAAAAACGGGCAATATTTTGGGTAAATTAGTAACTATTCATCACTAATAACTTTGTCAACTTTTTTTATCAGAGTAGTCAATAAGAGCAGGGAGCAAGCGGTCTCTTTCATCTTTTATTTTTCCGACTAAAGCCCCCAAAATATCTTGTAAAGTAATGACTCCTAAGAACTTTTTACCTTCGCACACGAAAGCCAAGCGGCAATTAGCAGTGCGTAATTTGGCTAAAACTTTATCCAGTTTGTCCTGGGGCGAAAAGTAAACCACTTTCTTCTCGATATAGTTTTGCCAAACCGCATTTTGCTTTTTTAGCAAGAGTCAACAAAAAACCTCTATGTTAAACACTCCCACTACTTGCTCAGTGGAAGGGGAGCGGCGAGTATTTTTGGTGGGGACTTTTTTTTGGTCAAGAATTGGATAACGAGTAAAAAAATGGCGAGTGTGAATTTTTTGGACTTCTTCCCAGGTGGTATCCTTGTTTAAAAAAACTACTCGGGACAAGGGAGTAAATACGGAACTAACTTTTAATTCGTCAAAATTGAAAGCCGCTTGGACAAGACGGGCTTCTTTGTTTTCGACAATATTTTCTGCCGCTAAGTTGTTAACAAAGCGCACCACATCTTGCTCGGAATTAACAAAGATTCTTTTTCTAGGCTTGATTAATTTTCCCAAAATAATTGCGGAAAAGCGCACTATTCCGTAGGCAATTCCCAGATAAAAATAATTAACTATTAACTTTTTATTGTGGGGTTTAGAAACTAAGTAGCGCACCAATATTTCAGTAATCAGAACCAGAAAAAGTGCCACAATAATAATAGCCCCATATTTTCACGCTCGTCCAGTGGCTATTGTTTCCAAAATCTCCTGACTTAACAAATCATCCAAAGCAATGTGAGAAATAAGCAGATTAAGAAAAACTTGACAGCAACAAATGGTTACAAAAAGCAAATAACTGTTTTTTAAAACAAAGTTTAATTTATTAGCTTGCTCTTTTTTTTTTCTTTCTTTGGCTAAATCAATCTTAAATAAGTCAGCTTCCGAGTACAAGGCAGAAAGAAAATTCAAAAAAAAAGCTAGCCCCACTAACAAAAAAAAGGTAATAAGAGAAAAAATATAAGTTTTATTCATTATTTTTTATAACTGACTTGGCGAATTTTTTCCGTTAAATGGTTAATTTTTTCTTGCTCTTTGTCAAAAAGAAAGAAAAGATGAGGGAGAGAAGAAAAATTTTTACTGCGAGCCATTTCTTTTTTAATTAAAAGTGAATATTGTTTATTCATTAATTCTAATAATTGAGGCTGGTTAGTTCCAGCGGGAAAAGTTAAATAAATTTTTAAATTTTCACCCCGAGTGCTTAAAACACAGCGAGTTAGGAAGAAAGCGGGGGGATTTTGGACGGGAACTAACTGTGCCAGAATGCGTCTTATCTCCCGCTCATATAATTGCTGTTTCCGAGCATGAAAAAGATTAGTGATAGTTGACATTTTCTTCTTTTATTTGCGAAGCGACAATTTTATCACCGACCTGAAAATCATTAAATCCTTTTAAAACAATTCCGCATTCTTTACCACTGGCGGCGGCTTTAATATCCACCTTATTACTCTGTAAACTACGGATATTACCGGTAAAAACTTCTTTTTCTTGGTGGAAAACTCGGACAAAATTATTACGACTAATATTGCCACTAATTACTTGGCAACCAGCAATATTTCCTATTTTGGAATAATAAAATATTTCTTTTACTTGGGCTACTCCCACTATTTTTTCTACTTCCTGGGTTGTTTGCTGACTCTTGATTATTTTCTCTAATTCCTCTTCCATCTCATAGATAATTTTACTACCATAAAAGGGGAGATTGTTTTCTTTGAGAGTGGTTATTTGTCCCTGACTAAATTGGCCACCAAAAGTTAAAATAATACTGTGAGTAACCTTGGCAAAACTAATTATAAAATTATTTAAGTTCCTAATTGCCGTATAAACTATGGTCAAATTAAGGTGAGGAGTAGACTTTTTTTTTACTAAATCTTGTAAAGCCTCCAAAGCGTTTTGACTGTCGGCCAACAAAATTAAATTAATATTTTTCTCAGTAAGAGAAAAAGGAGAGAGGCTTTTTTTTTCTTGATAATTGGCTAAGGTTTTTTTTATATTTTGCTGTACGTCTTCACTGTTTACTACTAAAAACTTGTCTCCTAACTCCGGTTCTGTAGTTAAACCACTAACTTGAACTATATCGCTAGGGTCAGCGTGGGCTGTTCTGTGGCCATAATTATCTAGCATTATTTTTACTTTTCCTAATTTTCCTTTAAGAAAAATAGTATCCTGAACTTGTAATTGACCGCCTTGCACTAATAACTTACTTAAACGAGTGCCAGTTTGGGGATGTAAATAACTATCAATTACTAGACCATAAGCCGGACAGTTATAACTAGTTTGTCAATTCCCAAAGAGTAAAATATTTTCTAGCAAGTTTTTAATGCTGGCAGCGGCTTGGGCATTGCCAGAAATTACTATGGTTTCTCCTCCCCATTCTAAGGGAGCGAAACCTTTTTCTTGGAGTTGGGTTTTGAGGCGGTTTAAGTTGGTCTCATTATCCGTTTCAGCAGGCTTTTTGTGGTTAATAAAAACAATAACTGGTAATTTATATTCGTGAAGGTAATCAATAATCTCCGCTGTTTGTGACATAATACCGTCTTGACCGTCAATTACTAAGACCACTAAGTCAGTCAAGGCAATTCCCCGCTGACGCATTTTTACAAAATCACTGTGGCCGGGCGTGTCTAAAAAAATAATTTTTTGTCCGGAAAACTCTACGGGAGAAACCGTAATTTTTTGGGTTATCCCCCCTACTTCTTTTTTTTGAGTATTAGTGTGGCGAATGGTGTCTAATAAAGTGGTTTTGCCGTGGTCCACATGACCCATAATACTAACCAGCGGAATCCGAGCCACCGAGGGTCAGTTTTTCGCGCTTTTTTCGCAGTATTCCTGAATAATTTGGTTAAAATCTAAACCAGCTTTTTTTTTTATTTGAATACCAAGGTGGTGGCAGTAAGTGGCTAACAAATCTATGGGTAAAAGTTGATTTTGATTTATTGGCTGTTTACGCTCTCAAAAAAAAGCCATAATTTTGCTAACAGGCTGCCTGATTGCGGCTCCTAACTCCGTGACTGTTAAACTTTCAGTAGCCAGATAAAGACAATTGTTTGTCACTTTATTGGTTTGCTGGGGAAGGTGCTGGCGAATTATTTCTCCCAATAAATTGTTATTTTCGTTCATTTTCATTTTTTTGGTATTCGGCAAAGTCAAGTTCAGGGTCTTTGGCGTTTCAAATAGTAATAGTGTTTTTCTCTTTTTCTTCTTCTTCTAAAATCCGCGCGTGAATATTTTTCTCTAAATAGTTGCCGATTTCTTTCAACATTCTCCCTTCGTGCTGTAAGAGCAGAGCCGCTTTTTCTTGGAAAACAGTAATCTCTCAATTGTCTCCTTTTTCTCACAAAGAAACCACTTTGACCGGTGAAAGTAAATTAAAAAGCAAATTTTTTTTATCCGCAGTCCAAGCGGCTAAATCTATTCGTTCAGGATAAATCAGTCGGGAGATGGTTTTTATGCGGTTAGCATCTTTACCAATACAAGTTCCTAACGAATCTATTCCTCATCTTTCACTTTTAACTATTACTTTACTTATTAAGCCTGGCAACCGCAAAATCCGACTAATACTAATAATACCTGCTTTGATTTCGGGAATTTCTAATTCTAATAATCGCTGTAAAAATAAATCCTCGGCACGAGTCAAAATAATGGGGGGGTGAGCCTTTTCTTCTTTGGCTTGGATGTGGCAAACTAAAAAAAAGAAACTTTGTCCCAAGCGAGGTTTTTCGGGCAATACTCATTCTTTTTTTTCTCAGGAGCCACTCATCCCATTCCCTAAATCTATTAAATAATAATTTTCCTGACTACTTTTAACGCTGCCCCGCACTAACTGACCTTGGAGAGGTTGAAAAGTTTTATACTGTCTTTCTCAACTAACTTCCCCCAAATCTTTTCGCAATTGTTTTTTAATTTCATAATTCAACGAAAAGGAAAAGTTTTTAATATCCAAAGGAAGTCAAAACTTATCGTCTTTCACTTGCCCTTTTTTTAATAATTTATCTGCTCTTGCTATTTCTTTTTCGGGATTGCTAACTTTTTCTACTATTTGATAAGCCCGATAAACTGTTAAGCCAGCCTCAAACTCAAAATGTAAGTCAACTTGGGTATTTTCGCCCCGACAATAAGACTTGTGAAAAGAACCAATAATTATTTTTTTAATTTTTTCTTCGGCCACTCCTTCCCGCTGGGCTAAATTTTTGATAAATTGATTAGTAGTATTATTTTCTGCCAAAACTCTTTAAAATAATTTTTATTTAATAGATATATAGTAATAATTTTATTAAGGTAGAACAAAAAATGGAGAATCTGGGACGTTATCTTAATGAACTGAAAAATTGAGTTAAAGAAGGGTGGAAATTTTTATTTGAAAATACGGAGAAAATAGAGGCTCATCATTTAATTGCCTTCTTGCTAACTATTGCGATAATATACTTGCTTTCTTATATTGTAGCCCGGATTTTTACCACCGTGATAAAACTATGTGTAATGATAGCGGTAGTTTGATTATTAATAATGTTGCTTTTTGACCGCAGCAAATTCCAAGAAATGTTTAATAGAAGAGAAAATGAAGGGGATAACGGACCCAGCGATAATCAATGATAAGTAAAATTTAGTAAATATACTGCTGCCAAACTAATAATAACAAAAATAAGCAAAGAAAAACGGAACTTTTTTTACAAAACATTTTTTTATGATGTATAGTCATATTACTTTTTTTAAGTAATAATAAATTTTATAACAAAAAAAGCCAATTCAATTAAACTAATTATTAACTACCAGAACTGTGTTAT